TTATAATACCTGTAATTGATAACAAGATGGTGTAGGAATAAAGCTGCTTCCAATTTAGCGAGTTCCCACCCTGGACATAGCCGTAATCCACCTCCGAATGGAATCACCTTCTTGCTTGTTGTTGGATCCTGGAAATGGATTTTAATCTATTGTTTATAGAAAAGTGTTACTTGGAAAGAAAAAAGAAATACTTACGATCCATCTCCAAGGGTTGAATTCCGATGGATTTTGATGCAGCGACGAATCAAGATGTACAACAGACAACATAGGAAGGACTTTCCATCCCGCTGGTATATAATATCCTGCACTTCCATTACATCGATAAAATTGGAATTAAATTCACTTAAAGAAAAGAACATTTATGTCAGAAATCTTGTATTTCTTCTAGTGGATATATTCAGATATAATTTCGAAATGATTATATGTATGTATGAATAATGTGAATGATTTAAATTAAAGTAGTAAACCAGTGTTGGAAGCAATAATTAAGAAATCTTATATGACTTCTTGTTAACAAACCTTTGAATTCTACATCCTTGATAGCTTTCCTGTGAACAAACTTCACCAAGTTGCCACAACGTAGAGTCTCATTAATGACCTGAATTATAATAAGATTTTAGGTGCATTGATAGTATAAAAAATATTTAAAAAATAATTGTAGGTCAATAATCTTGATAAATAAGTAATTGGTAACCCCATAAAAATAATAACTAACATGTTATCATTATCATAATCTTAAACTATATTAGCAGTCTAAAAAATTCCTAAAAATTACAATAATCATTTCTTATACTTACTATAAAGTGCCAGAGACAAAGGTTCAAATCTCAGCTAGATTGGTCAGTTTTACTTGAAAGACTAGATTCGGGAATATTTACCATACTGGTGAATTTCATTTGCTTATAATCTTCCCAGTTTAGGGGTTCCCCTTCCTTTTTCTTTCTCCTCACTGCTCGATGTTCCTCCTGATAATATGATGCATATATGTGTTAGTATAGGTAATTAAACTATCTAAAAGAATTATTAAGGGTCTTTTTACTTTAAACGGACTAAAAACAAAGGACATAAGTTCACATTGAATTGGGAAGTATTAATATATTTTTTTATCTTCAAATAATGCGTCTCATTATAGTTTGACTTTAAGCCACCAATTTTATTGAGCTTAAAGATCGAGTTAAAGACGAGTTGATATTTAATTTACTTTCTTATACCTTCAAGTACTGGAGAGCTCGTGGTGAGTGGGCAAGAAAATAGACGAGTAGGGACAGAAGTCCTGAGGTTGTTTCATAACCAGCCAACAGAAGGTCCTGCAAAATGCTTACTTTCTCCACATCACTTAAGTGTCCTTTCGAAAAATTCTCATTAAAAATGTCTTCTTTGGCTAGCCCATTAATCCCCAGTTCTTCTCTCTTTTTTCTTTCTTTCAGTACTTGCTTCAAGGTGGACGAGATCCTCGTACGAGCCTGCGCGAAGAGACTGAATCAATCGTCGAATGCACTAATGAACTTGCTAGAAGAAGAGACTGTAGTTGAATCAGGAGTGTTTGGTAAAACAGAAGTTATGTTTAAAAAAAAATTATTTTCTTACATAATTTTCTATTGTTTATTTGTTGGAGAGTGAAAATATTTATTAAAGATTGATAAAAGCTTGATAGTGTTTTTTGATAAAAATTTTGAGTATTAAATGTTGATAACAATGGTTAGTTGTTAGTTAAAGTAGAAAAATATAAAGTTAAGGATTGAAATAATTGTGAAGAAAGATGACTTTCGCCCAAAAATGAGGATATTCATTTTTCCCCTTTTGTAATATTATTTTTCCTGAAAGTATTTTTGACAATCAAACACAAGAAAATAATTTATTTTTTGAAACATATTTTTCAAATAATATTTTTTGTCATACCAAACACACCAAAACATAAAAAATTGTAAGAGTACCTTAAGAGCCTTGGCATAGGATGTCCAAGGAAGGTTTATTGGAATGGACACAAATCCTTTCATGAACGTCAAGAAATCTTCTAATAATTGCAAAGCTAGTGGCTCTCCAGGTTCCATGTTCAGTACATTCATCAACATCAAATTAAAGCTAAACTGCAAATACAAACTGAATTTGTTCAAAAATATTTATCGTTATCGAAAAATAACAAGTAAATTGAAGTCAGATAATATTGACGGAAGGTAGTATGTTACTATTTTCTTCCCAAACCTATTTAGCTTCTTTTGAGAAGAGAACCAATTGATTTCCTCTCCACGACTCCATTAACGAGCTACATAACTTATCAACACAAGCGAGAAAATCGGGTTTGCACTTGAATTTATTGATGAGGCCAACTTCAATGCTTCAGAATTTTTTTGTGAAGATCACCAGATACAAGAATCAAAGAGTGTTTGCCAAGAATGTCTCTAACTGGTTTAGGATAGCTGCTTTGGAACAGCCTGCCTTCATTCTGAAGGACAAATGTGTTGAACTCTAAGTCACATGAAACAATAGTTGGAGAGCCGAAAAGATAGGATTTGAATACTTTTCCATATCTGAAATAAGCCAAAAAAATAAAAACATATCTTGAGCACAGTTAGAGGTGACAAAATTAATCTATTTTTTTAGTAACCCGCTCAACCCGTACAAGTTTTAAAGGATTGGATTATGACACATTTTTAGACTTGACTCGTTTGAACCCAAAACGACTCTCAAATTATTGGGTCCAAATACAACCTAAATCCAAATATACAAAATTATATTTAGAATTTGACGATTATGTAATTTTTTTGAAGTACTTAGCTAAAATATAAGGAAAATACAATAGCTTTCACATTCTTTTCAAAAAGCAAAAAAGAAAAGAAAAGGAGAGATTGTATCATGTTAGGAGGGTTCATTCGGTTACGATCCCGTTATTTAACCTATCTTGACCCAAAGCGAACTTCAAACGAGTTGGATGATCATGACCATATATTAATTCAACTTGTTTTGATATATTCTAAGTTGATTCAACACACTCATTTGCCACATTGCCAAGCATAAAGAGAAGCAGAAAAATTTGCATAAAATTAAATATGAAGTACCTAGAGCGACGTTGTTGCAAGAAGTTGCCAATGGAGAATGATTTATGAGATGTAAAGAAGCCAAATGTTTCTCCAACAAAGGGTAAGCCCATGCTCCCACTAGGTAAGCCCTTAGGCTCATGTTTGACAAAGAAGAATTGGTGAAAGATTAAGACAAAAATTATAGTACCAAATAAGAAAGCTAATGTCATCATTTGAAGAAGCACAATCATCATATATTAGCCAAGAATAATTTTAGTACTAAAAATTTGGTTTGCAGTATGGTGTATCCCCTCCTGTGATTCATTTACTACTATATATATATAAGCCCATGTGTGTCCAATAATGGTATTTAGATAAAAACAAGAATGAGAGATTTAATTAGTAGACATTGCATTGATTGTGAACCACATTAAGAAATTTATTCACACAAAATTAAATGAATTACCTTTTACTACGATTTTAGTTGTTCTTATCCACGTAAATCTCCTCGAAATAATCAAGATTTAACAATTTCCCTTAATTTGTAGCTATGGAACATTCGAGATTCATTTATGCTAATAACTTCCTGCTCACATTTCAGGAAAACGCTTTAACATGTATTCCATTTATTCTTCGTCTATAGTCCTTTTTGATACTCTCTCCGTTCACTTTTACTTGTCCAAAGTAGACAACTTTGAATTAAGTGTAAACAAAAAAAAAGAAGATAAAGACGTACAAAAGGTTTAGCTTTTCCCTCTTCTTAATTAACTAACTAAAAATGGTTGATGCACCGTGGACGTAAACCTGATTTTTTTGCGGACATTTAAAGAATGGAATAAACACACTATATGTACATAAATTTATAGTGCATAGTGTATATGTTTACCCTTAAAATCGGATAACAATTGAATTTGTAAGTGATTTTAAGGATACACGGATTAATTTGATACAAAGTGATTAATTAAGTTGCAATTGAAATAAACAATGATAAAGTAAATTCAAACCACAAGAATTGGACAGTTTCAATCTCGGAAGGTTAGCCACCCTCGAGCCAGATGCACTTTGATCGGTTTCACGATACAGAAGAACAAGAGGTTAAAGAGAATAATAATAATGTATTGCTTTGAAATGCGTGTTACAATATGCTAAATGAATCATCAGACCCCCTTTATATAGTAGATGAGTCATACTTTAGGTACAATTCTATAAAAGGTAAAAAATCTCTTGATTTGTCGATTGTCAGTTCCTCATTGATACATGCCGAGATTCCCGCCGCAATATCCGACCGGTCACGGATATTTTAGTCTTCTGTTATGCTAACAATGTTTCTTCGAGCTCGTTCGGGACTAGGATCGATTCCGGGATCACGACCTTGATATTCTCGAAGGCGGGAGTTCCAACCCCGGGTTCTAGCCTAGTGGGACTTGGGGTCGATCTTCAGTCCTTTATTACCATGTTCCAAACCTGACCTACCATGTTGTAGGCGAGCTTGATTTCAACCGTATACAGATAGTCCCCTCGTTTTTCGGAGAGTAGACGACGAAAAACGACATGAGCTCCCAGTTCTTACTTCGATACCCCGCGACAGAAACGAGAAAATAAACAAAACATCTCATCAATCAAGTCTTAATGGCATTAAATGCATGTCAGCCGCCGGTCGGCCATTATTGGATGTGAACCGCCACTAAAATACTATAAATACCTCTTCCTTTGTTCATTCCAATTTTACATTCAAATCTTCTACCCTCGTACCTTTGAAATTTCAATACTTTCTAGCAGTTATACTTTGGTTATTTGAGATCCTTTGCAAGAAACCTTGTTTCTTCCCCGTCACACTGAGGCCTTCATCCGGTAGCGAGAACTTCCCCGTCGAGTTTCCTGCTCCGATACAGGGTGATGAGAAGAAAAGCAAAAGGGCTCCGGGTTCTCCGAGCTCGGAGAAGAAGCAACCAAGAAGAAGGTTGGTGCGCAAATCCAAAGAAAGCACAAGCGCTCGAGCACCGAGCACCATCTTCGGATTCACTCTATCAGTTGAGGGACGAATCCGAAAAAGAAGGAGAAACCTTCGATCTGATGGCCCGAGTGTCATCAAAACTAGAGGGGCAAGGGGCCTCCGAACCAGAGAGAGACGATGCCGATTTGCCTCAAGTTAGGGAGGCCGACAAGGAGGCCGTGGCCGAAGCTTCCCGGGATGTGGGCAATGCCCCAAAGGAAGCACATGGTGTGATAGAAATCACCGAGTCGCCCTCGTTCACCGAGTCCATGTATAACGAGGCTCATACGGTGAAAGAACGTCCCATCGAGGGGGGCCACGGAGCCAACGACCCCTTCCGCAACTTTTTTTATGGCATGGATTCTACCACCACGGAGGACGTCACCGGGTTGGGTGACTTGGAGGTGCCGAAGAAAAGTCCATCTTCGGGAACAAGAGGGCCTTCCTCAAGCCCGAAACTGATCAACCGGTTCCCAGCTCCGAGTATGGACCTTACCGGAAGCGATCGATCGTCATCCCCGTTTTGGAGGATGCCCGGGTCCTCTTGGTAAAGGGGATTTTGACTACTTATTAGCGCCTTTTATCTTTTATTTTAGTCCAAAAGTGTTTAACCGTCTTCGCAAAAACTGATGATATGTGCTTAATTACAGGAATATTGGAAGATGAACTCGCGAGATAAAATCCAACTCAAGAAGGAATAATCTGAACTCAAGAAAAAAAAGGCACAAAAGCTCAATTGTGCAGACCGCAGAATATCATCTGCGGCCACTGGTTATGAAGGAATTTCCATCAGAGACTGGTGCAAAGTGCGGTCCGCACATGAATTATGCGCCCGCAAAATCTGAGCCAGAAGCATAGTTTAGAGAAGATGCATTCCAAGCCTCCCAGAAGTGCGGACCGCACAACAATTGTGCGGCCATAGAAAAAGAACTATGCGGTCGCAGATACAATTGTGCGGACCACAGAAGAGCAAGGTGCGGCCGCAATTTTAGTTTTGTGGACCGCAGAAAGAGTGCATTGTGGCCGCGGTTCATAATTATGCAGCCGCAGATGTCCAATCCTGTCTAGTTGAAGAAAAATGTGGACCGCACATGGAATTGTGCGGCCACAGAACCTCTAAAAGGGTATTTTTGTCCAAAATTTCCAGCCTTGTATAAATAGATAAGTTTCACATTTTTAGGTCAACTTTTGACATTAGCTGCTACAGTAGCCGTTTCCTTTTACTCTTTTTAGTATTTTTTCATATTTTGAGCTATTTGAATATAGATTTTATCATTTTAATTAGCAATATGAGTTTAATTATTATTTCTTCTTCTTTTTCTTCCATTTCAAGTATGAGTAGCTAGATTTTCACTAGGGTTGTGACCCAACCCTAGTGTGTAAACTTAATGGGTGTTTAATTTAATGCTTGTTTATGGTTCGATGTTTATTATTTAGCCTTGTTCTTGCTTTTATTTGTGGAATTAATGATTGCAAATATTAGTTCATGCCTATTTGACTTGGTCTCTACTTGAGAAAAAAAGATTTAGTCTAGGAAAACTTGTCTAACAAGAAATTGGGTCAATCGAGAGATTGACAATCCCAATTAAAGGGTTGAACCTAGAGATAGTAACAATCCGACTTGAGCTTTTTATCAACCGTTGTGTTCAAATACCCATTTGGACTTGAGAAAGCCAAATTGAGCAAAATCACTCTCTAACCGAGAGGTATTGAGTGGGTAATTGAGTGTTGATAGCTATAATACACTCGATCAATAAAACAAACTTTAAAGTTTATATCCCATTAGGAAAACACCTAGGTGAAGGTCATAGCCCTAGGCTTTTTACAACATTTGAAAAATAACAAAAAATAATTTCCTAGTTTTATTTCTTAAATTGCAATTGTAGTTTAATTTAGACTTTAAAATAACCCAATTTTGTGGAAGTGAAAATTAAGATATACAAACTCACGTGCTACGATATATACTACTAACTCCCATACATATAGCTCGCTGCGGAATTCTACCCCAACTCTTGTTGGGTATTATTATTGCATCGATTGTTTTCATAACCTCGAATTGAGGTGTGAACTTGGACGAGATTAATTTTTGGCGTCGTTTCCGGGGAGCTAAAAAATGGTGTTAGCTATATATTTAGGTGTGTTTTTGGGATATCTCCTTTTCGTTCCTTGTTACTAACGTATTGAGAAATTATAGGTGCAATCATGGCAAACAATGAGCTCGGAAACTTACCTTTGGGGGATGTGGACGTTGAGGATGATCAAATGGATGAGGTCTCTCTTGAACCTCAAGCCAATAGATGAGGCCGACCGCATCATGACAATGTACACGTTCCACCCCCACCTCCACCACGAGCGGCTCCACACCGGGTGTTGCCGAATGAAGGGTATGCAAGTGCTATTGTCCCTCCCCTTTATTAGGACGGGCAACTTCCAAATAACCAACATGATGTTCACTTTGCTCGAGCAACAAGGGTTCTTCACCGGTGCACCGGGTCAAAATGCATATAAACACTTGAAGGGGTTCGTAGATACATGTTGGGGGAGTAAAAAAAAAATGTCTCCGAGGATGCTTTGAGGCTAAGGCTTTTTCCCTTCTCTCTGCGGGGGAAAGCTTTAGATTGGTTGGAATGTTTGCTAAATCATTCCATTCATACTTGGGATGCACTAGAGGAGAAATTTATTTCTAAGTACTTCTCTCCCAGGCACATGGCTATTCTTCGGGATGAAATTTTAGCATTCAAGCAAGAGCCCAATGAACCACTACACGAGATATGGGAAAGGTATAAAACAATGGTGAAAGAATGCCCCAACAATGATATGGCGGAGAACATGATTCAACAAACTTTCTATCGGGGGATCAATACAAACAACCAATGTGTAGTGAATTAACTTGCGGGTGGGAACTTCATGACTACGCCTTATGCGGAGGCGTGTGATATCTTGGATGAGATGGCGGATACTTCTTCGGTGTGGCAATCTCCGGCTAATATTCCATAAGGTGACCCTAATGTGATTCACCTTCACAAAGAGTTGCATGATCATGGACAAGCCATAGCTGAGTTGACTACCACCATGAACCAATTGGCAAAGGCTCAACTTCAACAAGTGCAAAACCCGAGGCAAGTCAATGCAATGGAGGGAGTAAATATGATGGCAAAAAAGCAAAGAACAAGAAGTCCACAAGTGGACAATTTTATGTAAGATGATAGTGGATTTGATCAAGATGAATCTTACAATGACCAAGAAGAGGAGGTCCAATATGTGAACAACTTTCAAGGGCAAAGAAACAACTACCAAGGCCCTAGCCAACAACAATGGAGACCTCAAAATAATCTAGGCAAATGGAATTCTCACAATCAAGGTAATTGGAGTGGTGGAAACAATCAAAGCAATTGGAATAACAACAACAATCAAGGCAATTGGAGTGGAATCAATAATCAAGGAAATTGGCATAACAACAATAACCAAGGTAATGGGGGAGGCAACAATCAAGGCAGGTGGAATAACAATCAAGGAAATCGGGGGTCGGGTTTTCAGAGGCCCCCGATGTATCAACAACCGAGCAACCCATCTAGTTATACTTCCCATGGTCCTAGTTTTTCCAATAATGAAATGGGGGCCGTATTGATAACATGTTCAAGCAAATGGTGGAGAAGAATGCCGATTCCGATGCCCAACTTGCTTTACACAACACATCGATCCGCAATCTAGAGGTTCAAATGGGTCAAATCTCTCAAACTTTAAATTCTCATCCTAAGGGGGAACTACCAAGTGACACGGTGGTGAACCCGAAGGGTGGGAACAATACGGGGCATTGCCATGGTCGTTACTACAAGAAGTGGAAGTGGTGGGAATGCACCCACCTCAAGTCAAAGGCAACTTGTGGATGGTGAGCAAGTGGTAGAAGAAGAGGAGATCCCGACCAATATAGTGCAAGCAAATTATGAAGTGCGGATTGATATTGATGGCACTGTGGAAGAGACTCAAGAGGAAGTGAACCCGTCTAGGGAGTATGTGATTGACATACCGAAACCGATAGTGCAAAAGGCTAAGGCACCATTTCCTAATCCACCTCCTTCATATCCTCAAAGTCTCGCCAAGAAAAATGGCGAGAATCAATTCAAAAAGTTCATTGCTATGATGAAGAGTCTCTCGATAAATGTGCCATTAGTTTAAACCTTGGAAAAAATGCCTGGATACGCAAAGTTTATGAAGGACTTGGTGACAAAGAAGCGGTCGATGAATTTTGAAACTATCAAAGTCACTCACCAAGTGAGTGCAATTGTGCATTCGATGGCTCCTAAGTTGGAAGATCCCGGTGCTTTCACAATCCCTTGCACCATTGGAAGTGCCGAGTTTGACAAAGCTCTTTGTGATCTTGGGATGTGTATCAATTTGATGCCCTATTCGTTTTTCAAGACCTTGGGAATTGGGCAACCAAGACCCACATCTATGAGATTACAAATGGTCGATCGTACAATGAAAAGACCGTTGGGAGTGATTGAAGATGTATTGGTTCGTGTGGATAAGTTCATTCTCCCGACGGATTTTGTTATTCTTGATTGTGAAGTAGACTATAAGGTGCCATTTATTCTTGGAAGACCTTTCCTTGCTACGGGGAAGGCTCTTGTTGATGTGGATGCCCGAGAACTCACTTTCCGGGTGGGTGATGAAAAGGTGGTGTTCCACGTGTGCAAATCTATGAGGAAACCGAATAGCAATGAAGTGTATTCATTCGTGGACTTGGTGACCGAAGTGAGTATTGATGATACAAGTGCCACGATTAATGTGGGTGATTTGTTAGTGGCCGTCTTGCTCAATTTTGATGATGACAAAATGGATGGCTTCATGGAATATGTTAATTCTTTGCAAGGAATGGGGTCTTACAACTATGCACCCCGAAAACTTTCCTTGGATCTTGAGAATAGGAAAAATCCTCCTACAAAGCCTTCAATTGAAGAGCCTCCTATATTGGAGTTGAAGCCATTGCCTCCACATCTCAGGTATGAGTTACTTGG